AAAGCGGCGCACAAAGTGGGCCATCGGCTAAATTTGGAGCTCCAGGTAGCATGCAATCAGCTGCTATTTAGGAAAACACGTGTGCTTCATAAAAATCGGTACAGCCATAATTATTCACAATTATGAATGCCTCGTTATTAATGCAAATACAAAAAAGTACGAAAAAAGTATGAAAAACGCTAGATGTCCGCGTTCTCTTGGCAGAAGGACCGGAGCATGCATCAAAGTGGGACATATTGACGTCGTCCTGGCATCACCTCAATATCGACAGATACCGAAGCGGTCTCTGATTGACGTAATCGCTCCATCTCCAGCGAGCACTAACAAGAAGCTGTGCGAAATATGTCCTGACATCGGTGTGACGGATGTGAAAACATCTCGGCCACATGAGACGCTCCAAAAACACGCCGCAGACATGAGAGGCTCGACACAGTCCGTCGGGGGGCCGGGGGAGGAAGTATAATTTGGCAGCTTTACAAACCGCCAGGATCCCAGTTCTGGCCTCTGAGCAGGATATAGAGACGGTGTACTAAATCCGATTAACCGAATTAATGTGTATATTAGCGCACTTACCTGACCGCTCAGCCGTGCAGCTCAAGTTAGTCCGTGCGCGACTCAAGATCGGCGAGACTGGTGGCTCTCTCTGGCTTCGCTCAGCTCAGCTCAGCTTAGCTCAGCTAAGTTCAGCTCGGGACCGGCTCGGATGTAACTGAGCTGGGTCAGTTCGGGTTTCTGACCGCCTGTCCTCTGCTCAGACAACCACCGCAGTAGTCCAGTAGGACTCTCCGTTCACCAACCACGCACACTCGCCGAGATCACTTCGACGACGCAGCGACTACGACGCCGCTCAGCTCAGTCAACTCCGGCAGAAAGTCCCCTCGCAAATACCGTCCAAACCACACAAAAGTCCTTCAACCAGTCCTTCGGTCTCCGTTTCAACACACTCAACTTAGCTCGCCGAGTGCGACTGAGCTCAGCTCGGGGCAGTGCCTCTCGCGCTCCAGCGACGACCACGACCCTCCTACACCACCGACGTCCGGCGGTACACTGAACCAGCGCCGAGCGCCGAGCTCAAAGCGCCGGGCGGCAAGCGGGCGGCGAGCGACGGGCGGCGAGCGGCGGGCGACGGGCGGCGGCGAGCGATGGGCGGCGGTAGCGGTGGGCAGTGGGCGGTGGGAGGGGCGGTAGATCCAGAGACAATCGGTTGATGGGTGGTGAGCCTAGCCACTTAGCCAGTATTGCGCGCATTGAATCTCAGTTGCGCGGCTGGGGCGATGTTAAGTTCAATCGTCCTACATGTTTTGTGCTGTGTGAAAGCAATGAATTGCTGCTTTCTGCGGAATGGCAAATATAGCAACCTTAAGTTTTTCATGAAAAATGTTTGTTGTGACAATAGTTCGTTGAGATAAGGACTGAGCTACCTAGGTCGGTTAAAAAATACTTACCCTTTTAGGAACAAGAAATACGAAGGGTAAAAAATACTGTTACGAATGTTCGGCGTAATTTTTCACTTTTGATGGTATTTGGCCTAAGCACGAACCGATGCATTGATAAAAACAGCTTTCTCCCGTACCTCGCTCTAGTCATTTTGCAATGACGCTAAAATGTACAACCTGAACCATTATGTACCAACTTATTTCACCTATAAGTGAAACGTTTCACAATCTAACATATACAAGCAAAAATTAAATTGTTGCAGCCAAGAAGTACAAATAACTATTATATTTTGGTGAATATATATCAAAATTCAATGCCCAAATAGCAAATACAATTTCATCCATTCATGTGTCGAGTTGTGCGTACTATATTGCTGACCATCTTCAACGAATTCTAAGATGGCGAATCCAAGTAGCAAATTTAAGCTCCAATAAGTTTCCTGTCAAGGCCCACTCATATTACCATCGGTCGTCCTTTATGAAACGACCAATGTCGTTGACTGCGGGTCAACTTACATATTGGTTAGGCACCCGTCGGCCGAGGAAATGTTAGCCGGGGACAAGAGGAGATAAATAGTGTAAGTTGAAACATGGATGGCAGGTCGGACGGAGGATTGAGTGAATTGTATTTTTTTTTTTAGATGCGGTCAGGATTTTGGAACATAGCAATGTCAACGTTTTTTCTCTACAAAGGTATTTTAATCAAAATAAATGATATATACAACATAAGTTTTCTGAGGATTTATGATGAGCCCTGTTTGTTTTTCATGACCGATATGGTGAAAATATACGTATTTTAATTAGCGCAATTCCTTCAGCTCTTAACTTTTCCCAGCTCACCAACGGATGCATGTATGCACATACATTCCCGTGTCACTTTTGTGTCAAGTGTTCTCACGTGTCAGCAGTGTCATTGCGCTGACGGAGAACGTCATTTAAGGACATGTCGGGAACCGAACACGGTACTAGCTCGTTATATCTCGCGCTGAGCTACCGCAATGAGTTGTGATCACCGGCAAAAATTGCAGTCTGACGCACTGTAATCCAACCGCGTGACATCAACCTGTCTGGATATCGGCGCAACTGCGCATAGTAATGCAGCGTGCGCCATCGCTTACACTCATTGGAACGACCCGGGTACTGAACCTTTCGCAGAAATGCAAATCAGCTGCCCTTCCATGCTGAGCTGAGAGACGACCAAACAAATGGCCAGTCAAGGTGGCATAAAAACGGCGCATGAAAGCCGGGCTCCACCCTCCCTCCGCCCCTTTCACAGGTGGGGATGGCCGATGGGCCTCCCCTGGGGAGACCGTCCAACGCGCGGCCCCGCGGACCGACGGGTCGAGGCGGTGCCGTAAACTGAATATCTCGTCTCCCGTGACGGTACCGGGGACGCCGGGCGTGCCGACAGTCACGGTGATGTTACGTGACAGTCCGGATACACCGTCATGAGACTGGGTCTCGAGTGACACCTCGGGAAAGTCTTGGGTGGTACAGTCACGAGGTGTGGATCGGATGTGTCTCTTTCACCTGAGCGGTGTTCAGGTGTCATATGAAGGGAAGCACTATCAGGGGGACCATCCTGGGTTTGTGTAGGTCACAACCGCTCTGTGGTAGCCGTGTAGCATTCCAAACAGCCATCGTGGCGAAGAAGTGCGCTGGCGCTGGCGCAGCAAGTTTACGGCTGACGCACACCACCCACGCCGGCAGAAACCTGCACCGCAAAACGCAACCTCCTACACTGGCAACAATAAATTAGCAGCAGCGAGTTAATTGCATTACTGCGACGGTAGGAATTTTACGGTCCTCCAGTGAAGACAGTCGTCTCAGGCAGTCGCCTCCGACCGCAGGTATACTGCGTCGCGCTAGTGTCCCGCCGATGGCGCATTATAGATTTACTGACCGGTCGAGTCAGCTGGTGTGCGGCCATTGCAACATGCTGCAGCCAATGGTCCACCGTTAATGTCATTCTAATTGCTGGGGTCCGAGTGAGCCATCAGTGCAGTGCCCTCAGGGGACACAACTGCCTACACAGAGCCATAACGTGCGTCTTTCTGTTGCTTGCGGATCCACCCACAGATGGTCATAAACCAGTGATGCCCGCGTGGTGATTTAGCAGGGAGCAAACAACAAAGAGCTGCACCGCCAAAGCCCCCGAAGATAACAAGACACGTCGCAATAGATTGTACGGAGAAGTAGTGTAGCAATAATGTATGAGTGCACCGAACTGCGTCCGGAAATGGACAAACTTATAGAGAGGCGTTGGCGGATAGGTGTGGAGGAGTGAGCCTTGTGAACGTTTGAACAGTGAGAGTGGAGAGTAGCCTGGAGGATTCATCTGCTGTCATGATCTGAAAGGAATGTAAACCTCGAAGCGGCAGCCGGCAGCCAAGTGGTCATTGGAGACACCAAGTGCACCGCGTATATTTGAGGTTTGTGTTTGCACACACTCAGCTGCATAACTTGACGGGAAGCTAACAGTTGAAATCATCAGAGGCCATATGCGAGGTCTGCTTACGCAATTATTTTCATATTAAATCAAACATTGTTTGCAAAATCAAAAAAATTGCCTGTGCCATGCGACTGTCGTAATTGTTGGTGTAGGCAAGCATTCCATTTTTATGCAACATTTGATTGATTAAAAAACGCAGCTTTATGTAGTGTGTCAATGTAACCTTGAAAGTCAGAAAAAAACTGTAAAAGGTTCATCAATAGAAACTGCGGCGCGTCTGTCACTAGTGCGCCAATTTCGCCGCAGGGTCGACGACGGACAGCTGCGCGGTGCGCCGCGGCGCCGCGCCGATGCCAGATTAAACACTCCATAAGTTGCGCTGTGGCTCGGGCATCTCCGGGCCGGCGGGCAGGCCGCGGCCTGCCCGCCGGCCCCCCGCGGGGCCGAGCCGACAGCCGGCGAACCTCATCACCAATGCATACTGAACGGAGCATTTGCATTGGATCCAGACGTATGGCCCGATCAGCGGCGGGAGAGGATTGGAACAGTGCCTCCGAGAGGGGAGGGCAGAGAGGGAGACGGGAGACCAGATGCCGTTCTGAGGATGGGAACTAAATGCTGATATTCTCAGCTCTCACCCAGCCCGGTCCGCACCAGACGCATAAACTGGCACGGCACTACACCCGCCGCTTAAATGGACTATCCCACCTTCTAAAATGTAGTTAAAACCAGTTAAAGGTATTATCAGGGTTTTTTCCAAAATTTCGGACTTACTCAGTGAAACGTGTAGAAGAAGGTGACTGAAGCCCCAATCCAAAGTCATTCGTCTCAAAATTGCCTAATTTTCCAATGGTGGGCCTCCAAAGTTTTCGCGGCTGCCAGCCGCGTAAACTTGCGAGTACTCGGTGGTCCATCTCTAAACGCCCATAGGGTTTACACTAGCGGAGACTTTTCTAAATATTTCTAGGGAAAATATAATGGATCTAGGGAAAATATAATGGATCTAGGGAAAATATAATGGATTACATGCTCCATTATATTTTCCCAAGACAAAATAGGGAAATATAGCATAGGTCCGTAACACAAAACACAACGAACACAACAAACAATATCTTGCCTGACTCAACACGTGGTTGGTTGTAACTTATAAATGTTAATGTTTTATGTACCTAAAAAGTGTCAGGTATCTTTGTGTGATGTGATGTGATCTCACTTTTCTACCTAAGAAAGAATTGTTCTTTCTTTTCATAATTTTGTTTTGTGGATTTCTTCAGTTTTAAAAGAGTGCAAAATAGGGAAATGACCATTGTTTACCTTCATCCTAGGTTGAGGTGTATATCAAGATACATGGAAACCAGGTAAGAACTACAGCCCCCCACGAACCTACAACCTACATGCTTACAACCTACAACCTACAACTCGGAGTTCATCTACACATATAACTAAAGTACTCAATGTACTATCTGTGGTTACTTCTTATCTGTTACTTGTACTGGAATAGCAAGCCTTGCAATTTTCCCAGACCTTTGATCACAAAGTCATGCTGTTTTTAGGAGACTTGCTTGGGTAGCTGACAGCTGTCCTAGAAGATGGCTTGGCGGACAAGCAGGTTGACGAAGCACTTGTGTGTAGCTGCCACTTCAACCCTCAAGATCTTTTGCTTGGAGAACGGGCTAGAACGTCACCACATGCCGCACCGTCAATAGCAGTCGTGGAAGGTGAGTTTGATTTCCTTTGTAATTGAACTGGTTTTTAGCACAACTTGTAAAAGTGGCACAAACATTGTTACATTGAACACTTGATGTGATGTAGAACCTGATAGCTGATGTTGAGTCTTGCAAATTGTATGAACAGCAGCTGGTGCATTGAGCCTGACAAGTGACGTTGGCACCCTAGTAGTCTCGTGTTTGAGTGTGGTCACCTAAAAAACTTGTGTGTAACCAACCAAAAAGTTTTTAAATATAATTTTGGGATAATATTGATGTGGTGTGTTTTGGTCATATGGCTTGGATGGTGACTAACACTAATTAAGGAATGCTTCTTCACGACACTCCTCAGTCTCCTGAAGCACCATCATCTATATTTTCTTCCCAGGGATTCATCCCTGAATCACAATCATTACCTAGGCCAGATAACTTTGCTGGGCCACATGGTCAAAACAGTTGCAGCTACAGGGTAGGTATATCAGCTGTACATGTATTTGACAGACTGAACATTCTTTCTGTACATCTGGACAGGTAAACTTGATAGGCGGCCGGCGCGCGCCCATCGGGCACCGTCGGCGGGCGCGCGTCCATCGGCACCGGCGGCGGGCGCGCGCCCATCGGCACCGGCGGCCGGTGCGCGCCCATCCCATCGGCACCGGCGGCGGGCGCGCGCACATCGGCACCGGCGGCCAGCGCGCGCCCATCGGGCACCGTCGGCGGGCGCGCGTCCATCGGCACCGGCGGCGGGCGCGCGCCCATCGGCACCGGCGGCCGGTGCGCGCCCATCCCATCGGCACCGGCGGCGGGCGCGCGCACATCGGCACCGGCGGCGGGCGCGCGCCCATCGGCACCGGCGGCCGGTGCGCGCCCATCCCATCGGCACCGGCGGCGGGCGCGCGCACATCGGCACCGGCGGCCAGCGCGCCCCCATCGGGCACTGTCGGCGGGCGCGCGACCATCCCATCGGCACCGGCGGCCAGCGCGACCATCCCATCGGCACCGGCGGCCAGCGCGCCCATCCCATCAGCACCGGCGGCGGGCGCGCGCCCATCGGCACCGGCGGCGGGCGCGCGCCCATCGGCACCGGCGGCCGGCGCGCGCCCATCCCATCGGCACCGGCGGCCGGCGCGCGCCCATCGGCACCGGCGGCCGGCGCGCGACCATCCCATCGGCACCGGCGGCGAGCGCGCGCCCATCCCATCGGCACCGGCGGCCAGCGCGCCCATCGCATTAGCACCGGCGGCGGGCGCGCGCCCATCGGCACCGGCGGCCGGCGCGCGCCCATCCCATCGGCACCGGCGGCCGGCGCGCGACCATTTCATCAGCACCGGCGGCGGGCGCGCGCCCATCGGCACCGGCGGCCGGTGCGCGCCCATCCCATCGGCACCGGCGGCCGGCGCGCGACCATCCCATCGGCACCGGCGGCGAGCGCGCGCCCATCCCATCGGCACCGGCGGCGGGCGGGCGCACATCGGCACCGGCGGCCAGCGCGCGCCCATCGGGCACCGTCGGCGGGCGCGCGTCCATCGACACCGGCGGCCGGTGCGCGCCCATCCCATCGGCACCGGCGGCGGGCGCGCGCACATCGGCACCGGCGGCCAGCGCGCCCCCATCGGGCACTGTCGGCGGGCGCGCGACCATCCCATCGGCACCGGCGGCCAGCGCGCCCATCCCATCAGCACCGGCGGCGGGCGCGCGCCCATCGGCACCGGCGGCGGGCGCGCGCCCATCGGCACCGGCGGCCGGCGCGCGCCCATCCCATCGGCACCGGCGGCCGGCGCGCGCCCATCGGCACCGGCGGCCGGCGCGCGACCATCCCATCGGCACCGGCGGCGAGCGCGCGCCCATCCCATCGGCACCGGCGGCCAGCGCGCCCATCGCATTAGCACCGGCGGCGGGCGCGCGCCCATCGGCACCGGCGGCTGGCGCGCGCCCATCCCATCGGCACCGGCGGCCGGCGCGCGACCATTTCATCAGCACCGGCGGCGGGCGCGCGCCCATCGGCACCGGCGGCCGGTGCGCGCCCATCCCATCGGCACCGGCGGCCGGCGCGCGACCATCCCATCGGCACCGGCGGCGAGCGCGCGCCCATCCCATCGGCACCGGCGGCGGGCGGGCGCACATCGGCACCGGCGGCCAGCGCGCGCCCATCGGGCACCGTCGGCGGGCGCGCGTCCATCGACACCGGCGGCCGGTGCGCGCCCATCCCATCGGCACCGGCGGCGGGCGGGCGCACATCGGCACCGGCGGCCAGCGCGCCCCCATCGGGCACTGTCGGCGGGCGCGCGACCATCCCATCGGCACCGGCGGCCAGCGCGCCCATCCCATCAGCACCGGCGGCGGGCGCGCGCCCATCGGCACCGGCGGCGGGCGCGCGCCCATCGGCACCGGCGGCCGGCGCGCGCCCATCCCATCGGCACCGGCGGCCGGCGCGCGCCCATCGGCACCGGCGGCCGGCGCGCGACCATCCCATCGGCACCGGCGGCGAGCGCGCGCCCATCCCATCGGCACCGGCGGCCAGCGCGCCCATCGCATTAGCACCGGCGGCGGGCGCGCGCCCATCGGCACCGGCGGCTGGCGCGCGCCCATCCCATCGGCACCGGCGGCCGGCGCGCGACCATTTCATCAGCACCGGCGGCGGGCGCGCGCCCATCGGCACCGGCGGCCGGTGCGCGCCCATCCCATCGGCACCGGCGGCCGGCGCGCGACCATCCCATCGGCACCGGCGGCGAGCGCGCGCCCATCCCATCGGCACCGGCGGCGGGCGGGCGCACATCGGCACCGGCGGCCAGCGCGCGCCCATCGGGCACCGTCGGCGGGCGCGCGTCCATCGACACCGGCGGCCAGCGCGCCCATCCCATCGGCACCGGCGGCGGGCGCGCGCACATCGGCACCGGCGGCCAGCGCGCCCCCATCGGGCACTGTCGGCGGGCGCGCGCCCATCGGCACCGGCGGCCGGCGCGCGCCCATCCCATCGGCACCGGCGGCCGGCGCGCGCCCATCGGCACCGGCGGCCGGCGCGCGACCATCCCATCGGCACCGGCGGCGAGCGCGCGCCCATCCCATCGGCACCGGCGGCCAGCGCGCCCATCCCATCAGCACCGGCGCCGTCAGTCGCCAGCTGGTGGTGGCGACCCGTGATCGCTCGCGTACGTTCGCCGGCACGCCCATTGCAGAGAAGGGGTTCGCGCATGCCCATTGTAGAGGGGCGCGCCCTCTGCGGAGGCGGTACGCGCTACGCTGTAGACACTACTGCTTGTACCTGGTTGGGTAGCCCCTTTGCACATTGTTTGTTCATGGATGTAAATACAAGTTACATCACTGATGAGTGTAATGCTTACATTTTTGAACTAAGAAATGCCACAGGACAGGATACCTCGGCGAGTTTCTGATATCAACATACTGAACATAAGGGCAGAATAATTATCCATAGAGCGTTAAGGATTTTTAGCCACCGAATTCGCCAGTCAGTAATTGCACATGGTGGCACCATGAGCATGAGTACCTCGCCTTGTCCGATCCTTTTCACAACTAGCAAGTAGAATGTGGCAAAAGGCAGGGAACTTGAAAGCATGCACATATGTAGATAGCTGATGATTCTCTCGGTTCAAGCACGATCTGGCACTCTGCAGCCTGTTCTGTTCCACATGAGTTGCCGGGACAGCATCACACAATTTCTGCATGTTTCAAACAGAAATGCCTTAATTTTCCTTAAAATATATTCATTTTTCACACAAAGACAACAAAAATGTACATGCAGGTGGGTACTGTGGCAAGAAATTACATACAAATGTATTTTGCCATGTGGGTACCCTCCTTTCACAGCACAATCATCAATCATAATTACGAGCACCAAGACGTTCTTTGCAACTTGCGAGCCCAACCGTGGCAGATCAGCTGATGCAGGGGCTCTGTCACAGGGGGCACAAGGCCCAGTGGTTATGTCACAGCACAATGTTGTACAACCTGCTATTCAAGAACACTTAAATCTTGAAAAACCTGTAGCTCTCTTGTCACCTCACTTTTCGCACTCTTGACAAATCACTTATCAGTCAGATCAAGACTGAAACTTGAAGAGGATAAGCTCTTTTGTGGGATGTACTTGCAGTTTCAATTTAATGACATAAATTACTCGAAATTACCATTGAAATTGTACTGTACCATGACGAATCTACCATTGAATGAAAAATGTATCATGACCCTGCTATAAAAAACTGAAACAAGCTCCAATTGCATATGATAAATTTGGTGATGTTTATAAATCTTGCTGCCTTAGACAAGCAAATCTTCAATTTGTTTCAATTTCAGTCGAGTTCTTCACAAAAAAATCCATCGTATATCGACAACCAATGCCTATCACCGAAATCTTGTAGAAATCCTCAGTCCCGCAAAATTTCGCTAGGCCGCTTTGTTTACATTATAGTGATGGGCCAATCTGACCGCTCAAGTACTTGTTTTGCGGGAATAAGTACATTTTTGTCGTTTTTCAAACGGCTATAACTTGCAAAGTACAGCATCAATAGGCATTTTATGTATATCGTTTAAATCGGCAGAGTCTGGAGACTTAACTGATAGGCAATACATTCCGATTCCTTTCAATTTTCAAACCCTGATAATCCCTTTAAATTGTGCCCGACGTTATAGATTGGATGACCAGGAACACGGTTCTGGCATTTATTTTTCATAAAACATCTTAGGCTTCCCATATTCCAAACACAAACTTTCAAATATGTGACGTCACAGCCCAAAATTAACTCCTTCCCCAGGCCACATTACTGTCATAAAGCTGATTCTTTTTTCTCTGTAGGCACCACAACAAAGTTCAGACAAGGTTTTAAGCGATTTTTCAACGAACAAACCCATTTAAATCAGAATGACTAAACGAGGTGACGTCACACTAACGGTCGCTCCATGTTGAAGATAGGGCCTTGTACAAGGCCCATTTTCAAATGAAGGGAACGAATTTCTTCAACACCAAGAGGCCGCGGGGGTTGCAACCTAGATAGATGATAGTGGTTTCTGAACCTCGCCGCAAACTTGGCTATCTCAACTCAAACCCCATGTTAAAGGTGGGATAGTCCCTTTAATGGCACCGTTAAACCGCAAACGCCACACTCGCCGTGGAGGAGGGGGACAAACGAAGTGAAAAGTAAACAGAGACGCGCTCGGAGACGATCTCCAGTAACACGCCGGCTGCGGAAACATTCGCTGATTTCTACGAACTACCAACGCCTCTCGATTCGTTTTGCATTTGTGACAGGTCATGCGCGTCCCACATAAACACAACCCAATCTCGGATGGTCATTTTGGAGCCGGCTCGTTGCAAGAAAACTCGCGAATGAAAGGTGGCTGGAAGCGGCTCGGTTTTTGCCGTCAGCTCAGCGCTTACAGAGCAGCTAATGGACGGGATAATAACCGGCTGCTGTTGAGTCTCGCCTTAAAACGGGACCTCTTGACGAACTGCTGACGGGACATGCTTACCGCCGGTGCTTCTTGTGGCATGTACGGCGATTAAACTGAAATGCGGTCACGAAAACAGTCCCCGGTAAGCGGATGTGATGAGTT